AAGAAACTGGAGAATAGTCACATGAGAGAATTGACAGAACAACTGAAAATTTTAGAGAAAAAAGAAGAAAACTCACCACAGAGGAGTAGACACCAGGAAATAATCAAACTGAGGGCTGAAATCAATAAAATAGAAACTAGGAAAACATTACAAAGAATCAATGAAACAAAGAGTTGGTTCTTTGAGATCAACAAGATAGAAAAACCTTTACCCAAACTAACCAAAAGACAGAGTGAGAGAGCACGCTAATTAACAAAATCAGAAATGAAAAGGGGGATATAACAACAGACACTGAGGAAAGCCAGAGAATCATCATACTTTGAAAACCTGTACTCCACAAAATTTGAAAATCTAAAGGAAATGGACAGTTTCCTGGATAGATATCACTTACCAAAATTAAACCAAGAACAGATAAGCAGTTTAAATCAACCTATAACCCCTAATGAAATAGAAGCAGTCATCAAACATCTCCTAACCAAACAAAGCCCAGGGCCACATGGCTTCAATGCAGAATTCTACTAGAAATTCAAACAAGAGCTGATAACAGTACTCCTTAAATTGTTCTACACAATAGAAGCAGAAGGGACATAGCCAAACTCTCTTTATGAGGCTACAATCACTTTGATATCCAAGCCACACAGAGATACAACTAAAAAAGAGAACTACAGACCACTATCCCTCATGAACATCAATGCAAAAATACTCAACAAAATATTGGCAAATCAAATCTAAGAACACATCAGAAAAATCATCCACTATAATCAAGCAGGCTTCATCCAGGGATGCAGGCATGGTTCAACATATGAAAATCCATCAATGTAATCCACCATATAAACAAACTGAAAAAGAAAAACCACATGATCATCTCACTAGATGTTGAAAAGCCTTTGACAAAATCCAAAATCCCTTCATGATAAAGATCTTGGAGAGAACAGGAATAACAGGGAAATATCTAAACATGATAAAGGTAATATATACCAAACCAACAGCCAACATCAAACCAAATGTAGAGAAAGTCAAATTGATTCCTCTAAACTCAGAAACAAGACAAGGCTGTCTACTCTCTCCATATCGCTTCAATATTGTACTGGAAGTTCTAGCTAGACCAATAAGACAACAAAAGGAGATGAAAGGGATACAAATTGGAAAGAATGAAGTCAAACTTTCACTATTTGCAGATGATATGATAGTCTACATAAGTGACCCGAAAAACCCTACCAGGGAACTCCTATAGCTGATAAACACCTTCAGGAAAGTAGCAGGATACAAAATTAACTCAACAAAATCGGTAGCCCTACTATATAGAGATGATAAATCCAATGAAAAAGATATCAGAGAAACATCACCCTTCACAATATCCACAAGCAACATAAAATATCTTGGGGTAACACTAACGAAAAAAGCGAAAGACCTGTACAGTAAAAACTTTGAGTCTTTAAAGAAAGAAATTAAAGAAGATACCAGAAAATGGAAAGTCCCCCATGCCCCTGGATAGGTAGAATCAACATAGTAAAAATGGCAATCTTGCCAAAAGTAATCTACAGATTCAACACAATCCCCATCAAAATCCCAACACAGTTCTTCACAGAACTTGAAAGAACAGTTCCCAACTTTATATGGAAAAACAAAAAAACAGAGGATAGACAAAACAACTCTGTACAATAAAGGATCTTCTGGAGGCATCACCATCCCTGACTTCAAGCTCTATTATAGAGCCATAGTTTTGAAAACAGCTTGGTATTGGCACAAGAATAGATAGGTAGATCAATGGAATTGAACCGAAAACCCTGATATTAACCCACACACCTAGGAACACCTTATTTTTTACAAAGATGCTAAATCTATACAATGGAAAAAAGATTTCATCTTTAACAAAGGGTGCTGGCACAGCTGGATTTGGACATGCAGAAGATTGCAGATAGATCCATACCTGTCACCATGCACAAAACTTAAGTGCAAATGGATCAAAGATCTCAACATAAATCCAGCCACACTGAATCTTCCAGAAGAGAAAGTGGGAGATACCCTTGAATTAATTGGTACAGGAGACTGCTTCCTGAACATTACACCAGTAGCACAGACATTGAGATCTGCAATTAATAAATGGGACCTCCTAAAACTGAGAAGCTTCTGTAAGGCAAAGGACACAGTCAGTAAAATAAAACGGCAGCCCACAGAATGGGAAAAGATCTTCATCATCCCCACATCTGACAGAGGTCTGATCTCCAAAATATACAATGAACTCAAGAAGCTAGCCACCAAAACACCAAACAATGAAATTAGAAAGTGGGGTGCAGAACTAAATAGAGAAGTCTCAACAGAGGAATCTGAAGTGGCTGAAAGACACTTAAGAAAGTGCCCAAATGCCTTGGCCGTCAGAGAAATGCAACTCAAAACAACTCTGAGATACCATCTTACACCAGCCAGAATGGCTAAAATCAAAGATACCAATGAGAGGATGTGGAGCAAAAGGAACACTCCTCCATTGCTGGTGGGAGTGCGAACTTGTAAGACCACTTTGGAAATCAGTATGGCTGTTGCTCAGAAAAATGGGAGTCAGTCTACCTCAAGATCCAGCAATTCCTCTCCTGGGCATGTACCCAAATAATGCACTTCATACAAGGACATATGTTCAACCATGTTCATAGCAGCCTTGTTTGTAATAGCCAGGACCTGAAAGCAACCTAGATGCTCCTCAACTGAAAAATGGATAAGAAAGTGTGGTACATTTATACAATGAAGTACTACTCAGCAGAAAAAAGCAATGGAATCTTGAAATTCTCAGGCAAGGTAACCCAGTCACAAAAAGACAAACACGGTATGTACTCACTCATTTATGAATTTTAGACATAGAGCAAAGGATTACCATCCTATAATCCACACTGCCAGAGAAACTGTAAACAAGGAGGACCCTAAAAGAGACAAACATTGTCCCCTAGAGAAGGGGAAAGCATCAGGATCCCCTGAGCAAATTGAGAGCATGGAAAGAGGAGAGAATGAGAGGAGGAGAAGAGGAAAGAAGAGGAAGAAATGGAGGAGCAGAAATATTGAGTTGGGGGAAGAATAGAGGAGAGCAGGATGAGAGATACCATATTAGAGAGAGCCATTATAGTTCTGAGGAGAGATCTGTCACTAGGGAGATTTCCAGAGACCTAC